AGCGGATTTTTTTTTTTCAGGAGACGAAGTAACTCTAGTCCGTCTCCCACATGAATAGCGTAATTCGTGCCCCAAACTGTGTGTAACTTGTGCTAAACAACAAAAAAAGCAATTTCGGTCCGTCATCCTTTTTTATTAGTATTGGGGCTGGGGCTTCTATCCCTTTGTTGAACAAGCACCGTGCGGAAGTTCAATTGAAACAGGTTCAAACCTACTTGTGAAACTAGATTGCTTTGGTCTGTATTCCATCTCCTCGGAGATAACCTCAATTGGAAGCTTAGAAATATGACAAAAGAGAAACTTAGGAAGGGAGGGGGATTGAGCGAGAAGGAGGGGCAGAGGGAGTGAGGGGAAGGTGGAGAAAGAAAGGCGGGGGGAGAAAAGGGGAGAAAATAGAGAAAGGCCGTCCATTAGAAAAAAGGTTTCTTAGAACAGTTTTTTTTTCCTGATGTGAGATCTTGAAACTAAGGTGATTTTCACTTGATTTTTTTTTTCATGTAACTTTTTTTTTTAAGTCGTAGCGTCTTATTGTAAGGGCAGCTCACCCCGTTGTGAGGGACCGTTTTCCGTCTTACGAGTGGAGCTAAAATAAGCAAACATACTGCAGAGTCAGCAGATATTCCTATATCTGAAGAACACAGAATGTATGGTTATATCAAAAGAAAAAAAGCAGTTAATATCAATTTTCGCCTCAAAAGCAACAGTGAACATATCAAAGAAATTCACCAGTAATATAATGCCAAATGTGTGCCACAGAAGTTAATCGAAACACTGCAATAGCTATAGACAATTGCAATCATTAATATAATATACAAATTAAAGGAACCAAAATTAGGTTTATATGTTATGTGTTGTCAGCTTGTGAATGTTTGGCAAAGACTAATGATGGTGAAAAAGAAACTAGGCGACGGAAACGTTTCTTCTTTTTTGTCCTTGTATTTTTATCTTGAATGAAAAGAAATCAAATTAAGTGCTGCCGAAATTCAGTGAAACGGTCACTAGTAAAAGTAATTAGAAAGAAAGAAATAGTTTCTAAGACACTCGGATGGACATGAAGGCCTGAGCCCCTTGCCCTCACTGAAAAAATAAGGCAAAAGAGGCACAGGTAGACCAAGAGCAACATACTTAAACAACTTGAAAATATGAGTGACGGGAAAAGACTAGAAGAATATAGTGTAGGATATTTTGAGCACCCAGGCAGAGAAAGAAATGAGTAACGAACCATAACCGCCAATGTGTACTCTAAGAGTGGCACTTGATAACTGGAGTTTTGCAAGATATCTCTCTAGTTAAGTGAACGTGAGTATATGATATTTCAACGGTCTGGCCCATATCAACGACAAAACTCACAATTTATTGAGAGAAGTCTTTGTGGTAGTGGTTTTCCCGTCCTTACAAAATCATGGCCTTCCCTCACCTCACCCCCCCCCCCACCCCCCCGTTCTCCTTTCTTCTACCTTTTCCACTTTTTTTTTTTTACTGTTCTTCTACTGTTGCCCACTGTCTTACGTGTACACATTTAGTTCATGAATCTCTAAGCAGGTTTGCGTGAAGGCAGAGTAGGCCTACTAACAGTCTACTCTAAGCTACATGACATTGATTTCGAATGATGAAAATGAGAATGAAAAAGAAATCAACAAATTAAATACGCTATTTCAAGGTTTTTTTACATCAAAAGCCACCATCCTACTTTCAAAGTATTCTTTTGTTTATGACTTTGTGACCGCAGTAATTAATGCTTCGAACAAAACATTTTTTTAAAATCTCTTTGTATCCTTACATCAAATCCGGTTTTGTTCAACTGGGAAAACAGTACTACTGAAGTTTTGTAGTTTTCACTAAGAGAAAGCGTTAAATACAACTCTTCTAGTTCGGAAGCTAGCAATTTTAAATGTTCTAAACAGACAAAATAAGATATGTTTAGAGTCAAAGTTTGGAATTAAGTCGCGCATTTTACCAAAGGTTATTCTTTTTTTTTTAAACACCTTTTTCCCCCTTTCTCTTTTGTTGGACGGCAAATCATAGTAATATATGAAGCGTGATGACGAAATGAGTTACTTCTTGGATTTGAGCCCAATGGAAAAAAATGCGTCACGCTTATCGGTGAAGTTTTTACAATTTATAAATATTATGAAATAATAAAAGGCTTGTTATGGATAAAGAAGATGGCATCAATAGAAAATGTACAAATTTGACCCTAGTGTCGATTTTGGGCTAAAATCTCCATTGTGGATTACGAGAGGTAAATTATTTTGTCTGCACGCCTCACATATATTATGCTCGTAGCAATCTGTTGTTGCAGGCTTCGAGCTGCGCGTGCTCACAACGAAGACAGTTGGCGTGTGGCCCCCGAAGTTCTCACGATTTACCTGCAGGCATCCTTGTCGCGTCCGTCACTTTTCCGCTCGCTCAAACTAGGACCGTCTTGACGCTGCGCGCCCCCGCCCGCGGTAATCCGCCGCCTCTCCCTCCCTCAAGTGTCCGCGCGGCGGGGCTCGTGCCTGCTTCATGACCGCGGCCCACAGAGTTGGTGGCAGCTGTGGCGTAAACTGCGCTCTCCGGCTTTCGGCGCTTTGAAGTATTAATTGATCTGCGGTTGGCACAGGCGGAGGAACAAGTGCTGAAACAGGATACTTCCACTTGTTGTCTCTTCCGATCTTCTCAAGGTGCAGTAAACACGTACTAACTTTCTGTGTTGTCTTTTCTCTTCGCTTTTTTCCGACCTCACTGCAACGTAATAGGTCACACAATAATGTTCTTATATTCTTAGAAAGGTATTCTTAGGAGGCGGTACAACTACAAAACTTTGTCCATCCCTTATTCTTTTCTATTGATATGATGGAGTTTCTGCCTGGCATCATGACTGCCTCTTCAGCCTATTTGTGTGTCCGACACATAGGCCTACAAGGCCGAGGGGGGGGGGAGGGCTCTGGTACATCACTCGTTGTTGACTCGTTTCCACCTCAATATCGCGATGGAAATAAGTAAGAAAGGCCTCACATACCTGTCGCACTTTTTATTGTTGGGACGTGTATGTTTAGGGGGGGGGGGCGGTCCTTATGAAGACAATAAACTCATAAACTCAAATGTTTTCTCTAACCCATTTTGTCCCTACAAACAATAACTCCACTTGACTGTGGCTATGATGATACGCGATTTTCAAAAAAAGATAGGGCCGGGTGTTTGAGGTGATAGGGGTGTTTGAGGTTTTGTTGACAAAAATGATATCATGAAAACGGTGAGTGCAGGAAGAACTAGAACGATCATTTATTTTTCCTCTGGAAATAAAGAGCTTCTTGTTTCTAGTTGTTATGATACTCTGATCTACCTTGAATAGTGAGGGTGAGATGATAACAAGATATAGTTTGAGGAAAACGTTTTCCGTTCAGCAGCGCAAAATAGATACATCTAGATTTTGATTAATTACTTCTCTTTAGCTTTTTGAGTTAACAAAATGATTTCCATATTAACTTTATGAAATCAACATTATACAAACTGTTCTCGGACATTTGGTGCATTTATTTTAAGTATTTGTTGTGAAATGAGCCTTGTTCTAGACCAGTGCTTGTCAACCTTTTTGTTATAGCCAGCGCCCACTTTTTTTTTCATCTTTAAGAGGCTAAAACAATTTTTACCATCTACCCACATGTGACATGTATTTCCATGCGGAGCCTTACATAAAAACCATTCACTAATATGGTGATCCCCACCGTCCAGCATCATAACTAACTCGCCTTCGAATTGATTATATCGCACAAGTTGGCAAAAAAACGGCCTAAGATCAGTCTGACTGACCCTTTGTAAAGTTTGGTTTAATCTTTGCAGAATAACCATTGTGCATTCACGACATAGTTTTCGCTTGTTTTGTTGGGTTTTTTCCCCTTCTACATGACAATCTGTCAGTCTAGCTGTTTTATGCTTTTCTTTATTCCTAGACAAATTGTTGAATGTTTGGTCCCTCTGTGAATGTTTCAGCGTGTCTGTTAGGTGTGCAAGGTAGACGGACGGCTTTGTGTGCGCTCAGAGGTTAACGGTGCCACTAACTATACCGTACTGTTTTGTGTTAAGTCTCTTCGTGTTCTTTATCTTTCTACGGTTTATTTCAAAAAACCTGTTTACCAATTTTTCTCCCCTTAAATCGACTGTTTTTTTGTGTTTATTTGTTTTTGTTGTTTTTTTGTTTTTTTGCTTTCCTGAGGCCGAAGATCTTTCTCCGTCACAATATCTTTTTGACATGAGGAACTGAAGGTAAATACGGCAGTCCTATCCTCACATCGAAAAGATATGAGACTGACAGAGAAAGAACTGCTGTCACGGAAAGAACGTAAAAAGTCGATTTTTGACAAATATGGCATACGACTTTCTTGAACTGAACTACTTTAGAATAGACTTGCGCCAAAGTGGAGGCTCTGGGCTCAGCACGCTAAGGTTGTAATATGAAATGAGCGCTAAATTCTTTTCAGCTTGGATTCTTTATTGATCTTTGAACATGGGTACTTTTTAACGTTTTTCTTACTTTTTTTTGGGGGGGGTGAGTTTGTTTGTTAGTTTGTTTTGTTTTGTTTTGTTTTTGTTTTTTAGTAAAGGAAAGGGGAAGGGGGGATGTATCTGCTGTGTGCGTTCTACTGTCTCTGCCCTGCTCCTCAAGAATCAACAACAACAGCACCAACAACAATAGCAAAGAAACAACAACAACAAACCCAGCGGCAGCAGCAGAAGCAACAACAACAACAAACAATAAAACTAACAAAGAAACAAAACAGCTGAATGGGTGAATGAGGGCCTCATTGACTGGTCCTACTTTTTTCTCTTTCCCTATGTTGTTTCTACCTAGGTCTATATTGATTTCCCTCCGCTCTAAATGACCTTAATTGTGTCGATGCGCTTCTAGTTGTTTCAGCTACACTTAATTAAAAACCAAACCAGCCGAACATTTTTACATCAGTGTTGCATAGATGATAGACTCTTTCAGACTTACCTATTACAACGGACAGAGACCACGATTCACTTGAAATAACTGAAAATCGCATGCGAAAGCGCAGCCGAAAATCCTTAAGTGACGCCTTTCACATAACGAGTGTTGAGCAGTTTCAATACTGTTTCCCATCAAACAACGGACAAAGGGGGTCTTTTTTATATTTAGTTTTCCCGTCTCTGTTGAGCAGACTGGAGACCAGAGTCTGTGGGATAGCGGTTAGGTGCTTTGCTACCGCACACAGGAGACCCATGTTCGATTCCCGATTCGAGTGAGGAGTATTTTTTTAAATCGAGTATCTCGGTCATTTTTGCTGGGATGTTGAATCCCTTTCAGCCTGCATTGACCCTGACTAGCAGTGTTGGAAGCCCGCCTCCCAAATTATCTAGATTGTGTCGATGGGGGGAGTAGGAAACACTTACATTATAAAAGATTGGAGAAGTGAGCTCTGCGGGACTTAAGACGCTGTTTACGAGACAACTCGAAAATAGACTTTTGGCTATCGTATTATAGCCTCCTTTTAAAAAAATATGATCACATTACCACAGTATGGTCAGCATTACAAACGCGAGATGTTCACCTTATTATTTCTAAAAGCTCTTCGAAAGGAATGTCATTGGAGAGAGCGAAGTCCTTCTAAATTGAATTTCCATGATCAAATTTCTAAATATCAACTCATACTTCGTGAGGGGGTAGCTGACTTTAACAGAGACTCGGCAGTAACGATGTCTCGTTGCCTGCCTTCACCATACCCCATCCCCCCTCTCAATCTCTCCCCATCTCTCTCTCTCTCTCTCTCTCTTTCTCTTTTTCTCTCTCTTTCTCTCTCTCTCACTCTCTCTCTCTGTGTGTGGGGGGATTTTTTCATTGACCAAACAATGATCGAGGTCAATTGGAATACGGTCGGTTGAAGCACGTACTGATTCGATAGCTTTTCTCAATGTTGACCTCTTCTAATCTTAAAGTTGTTGCTTTGCATTTGTGCTTTCGTATGGAATGTTTGTCAGAAATCTATGAGATTTGTATAGCAATATATAATAATAGTACTAGAGTCCCCAGAAGGGACAACAAGCGTGCCAGATATTCCGTTGAGGGCAAGAACGCCAGTCGTAGTTTTGTTTAGCAATAGCGATGATGCACTGCATTCTTATGTTGCGCATAGGTGTGCAAACCGGCGTGGAAAGGAGAGTAATTTCAGCTATCACTCACATTAGCATAAGTATTTAGAACAGCTAAACAGATTAAAACTTGTTTAGAGATCTTGATCAAGATTATTTGTAAGTTTTCTCTAATGGTGGACTTATTAATTACACGAAATAAAGTAACTGATCTTAAACTATAAAAGGACCTGTATATATATACATCAAGGCCTAATACGGAAAGACGCCGGTTTTCTGTCCAGATATCAGCTGAGCGTATTACATGTATGTGGCAATGGGAGAAATGAGGTCAAACAAAGATCGAGACAATAGTGAAATATGAAAACAGTCATAGACACCACCCCCCCCCCCCTTTTCCCCCCCTTCTTTTGGTTGTTAATAAATTTGACTTATCGTCGTACTAAGTTCCTGAATCTGACATCTCAGCACCAATGCACATGCCTCTGAAATGGTTAGTGTTTGAGCGCTTAATCAGCTGCTTGCACTGTATGCTTCCCGGGAAGATGAGAATGTTTCGGAGTGTTCTATGGTCTGCTGGGGTAATAATATAGTGTAAAGCGCATATAGCCTGCTGTTGAGCGGGGATATGCGCTATACAAATGCTATTTATTATTATTATTATTATTATTATTATTATTATTATTATTATTATTATTATTATTATTATTATTAATATTATTATCATTATCAAATGAACATAAATCTAAGTCAATAAATGTTTTGGGGGAATGTTTGTCCGTATTTAGCCTATGCTTTCTTTAAGAGGTAAAGAAAAAATGTTCTCGGGGTTCACGATGAAGAGGCATTAAGGTCTTGCTTTCCTTCAGAACATTACGTGAGAAAATGTGTATATATATATGGGACATGTGTTTCGCGATGGCAGAGGGGAGAAAACCGCTTTGTTTACATTTTCAATCTCATGAGTCAGTTAATTTAGATATCTGTTCAGTCACAGTTATCTACGCTTGCCATGCTGTGTGTGTGTGTGGTGACGTCACAGCTGCCGCCTAAAGCGGTATTGAACGTCTTTGTCAGAAATAGATCTACCTTCAATACGCCACAACTTAAGAGCTATAGCAAGTACCAGTGTTGGACAGACCCAGTGATAATTGCATTACGATAGAGTGTGAGTGCAGTGCCTGCTATTATCAGCTTCAACTGCGGATTTGTATCTTTCTAGTACCTGGCGTTGTACAATGCCTTCTTCAATGTTAACGGAAATAAAGTACGTAACAGTCCCCTTTAACCTTTTCCGCACCGCAACAATAAAACCAGCACAAGGTACATTGTATCATTCTTCCGGTGCAAGGTGTGAACACCGACGTCTATGGTGTGACGGTTAAGCTTTTCGCCTTTGTAAACAGAAAAGGTGAGTTCGATTTCCAAGTCATTTATCTATATCAATCTGCGGAGATACTGTATCCCTTTCATCCCGTTTGGCCATGTGAGGCAGTGTCGAAGCAACCCGCCTCAAAAAGATCTGAAATTGGTCGAAGAGGCTTAAATATTTAATTTTTACCAAATTAAAGGC